CAGAGCACTGGCACAGGCTGCCCAGGGAGGTTGTGGAGTCTCCTTCTCTGGAGATTTTCAAAACCCGCCTGGATGCAGTCCTGAGTAATGTGCTCTAGGCAATCCTGCTTTCGCAGGGGAGTTGGACTAGATGATCTCTAGAGGTCCCTTCCAACTCTGAAGATTCTATGATTCTGTGATTCTGTGATACCAATATCTTGCTTTCTTCTGGCAGACATCTTCCCTCAGGAGAAAGTCAAGTTTTGCCTACTGAATTGTAGCAGCTGATCACAAGCTCTGCAAAGACAATAAATGACTCTTACTGCTTTCCATAAAGAGGGGATCAGCTGAATTTAGCTTCTGACAATGAAGAGGCAGAATGAACAGGTTTCTCTTCCTTCCGGGACACCAGGAGCCTGATGGAAAGTACAAAGTGAATTGGAAACAGACTCCCATGTACGAAGCAGTGCCTGACTGCCAAATAAAACTAATTTTCTTTCTGAAAACCTTTAAGATACTTCTATCACACCCTGCTAGCCAGTACAGTTCTGTAAAACAGAATAAATGTTGCATAAGTGGGATTGGTTTAGTTCTTCAGAATTGGATGTAAGAATGGAGTTTGACACATCCTGTGGGTACGTATTGGTGCTCCTTTCTTGGAAGAACTTTAGTTTGCAGTGTAAACAAGTAAGTCATAATTTCGGTAGTTGTTCAACATCAGCAGTAACAGTTGTTGTCCAGTGAAACAAAAATGTGTTAGAAACAGAGACACTTCATGAGAAAAAAAGTTTATTTTGTGCCTTTCCCTCTCTTTTGACATTTCATAAAAAAGACTGATTTTTAGACCTGTTTTTTTTTCTTTTTCTTTTTTTTTTTTTCCTTGTCTTCCCTGTTGAGTTTTGTCTTGCAGTGCTTTGAACAAAAACTTCAGGGGGCCCTGAAGAGGGCTTTGAAGGTTTTGTCCATTGGTGGTTGTTCATATGGGGGGTATTGATCCTTTAGTAAACAGATTTTGTTCCTGTTAGCTTTCCAGACATTGGAATTAAATAAATATTTCCTAGAACTAGCATAGATCAGTGACTTTTAAATTGTGTGGGTGGGAGGGTGAAGGCAGGGAGTGGAATGAGTAAACAGAGGACCACTTTCTACCTGGAAGAGCTGATTTTCGTTCATTGGAGATGTACTATAACTTCATGTTGAGCTCATCCCTAGGCATCTCACATGAAAAATATATTAAAATAGGCTTGACTCACCATTCTAAAATATATTCCAGGCCTTCTTTCTAAATCATAGAATGCTCTAAATTGCCGTTCTGTTTTGAAAACAAAACAAAAGTCTGCTCACCACCTGAACACTTTTTTCCCCCTTCAGTGCTGGTGTTATGTCTGTTTACATCAGAGACTGAAAATATCCGTTCTGACAAAACCGAACAAGGTCCATTTATTCTCCTTCAGCAGTAACCACCTCTCCCCTCCCCATGTTTATCTCTCTGCTGAGCTTCCCGCCATATCCCCCCTCCCCTTGCCTCAGCTTACGTAGCTGTCCTCTACAGTTGTAAGGAAATGGTTATTTTACTCTATATTTGCTTCCTTCCTGAGGACAGAGCTATTCTAGATGCCATATCCAGATTATTCCTCCCTTGCCCTGATCTTTCTGTTGGTGCCAGGTATGAGGAAACATCCTAGGTGTTGAATCCAGGATGGTTTTCAAGTTGGTCTTCACATTTTTAGTCAGTCGGCTTCTAGTTCTGGGCTAACTTTCATACCAGGAACCTAAGTGATGTATTGTCATTTTTGAAGACAGCAACTGAAATTGCATAACTGTATGACTCACAATAAAAAGCATTGACTTTATATAGAAGATATTGGCTGTACATAGAAGACAAATTCTTGGAAGGAGATTTAAAAACAGAAAGCTGACAGTACATACATAGCTATATGCTAACACAATAATACAGGTTAAAAAAAGTCTAAAAAACAACAGGTAGAGGAGGAAATGCTTTCTTACCCAGGTAAAGAGCAAGTTTTTACCTTTCTTAACAATGGAAGGCTTTCCAAACATAGATGAGGTAATGGGAAGTCCCACAAAAATTAAAGAAAATGGTATGACCTGGCAGTCTGGGTCAAGCTAAATCCAGATTAGTCAAGCGATCCAGGTCAGACTAAGTGGGGAAATCAATTCACATACCGCCATGTTGGATTAGTCATCATCAAAAATGGTTATGAAATTCCTAAGTTAAGCCTTCACGAAAGTTGAGGAAACCTATCTAACTTACTGTTTCATTCTGGTACATTGTATAAATGTGAACGCATAATAGGTTAATTATAATAGTAATTATTTATAATCACTCAATGGAACTGCACTGAATTTCCATGTCTAAATTTTGACAGTGGGGAGGTTGCAGGGGTGGCCTCTCTGAGAAGAGACCTGGGGCCACCCTGTGCTGGACACAAATGGTTCCATTCAACACCAACAGGTCCACTACAGGACACAGCTGAGCCCATCAACCAAGTTGGTGGCACCTCTGTGAAAACATGTTTAAGAAATGGCAAAAATGCTGGAAAGAGAGAGGGGGGAGAAAAGAACAAAAGAGTGAGAAACAGCAGAGGGAACACCAAAGTCAGAGGAGGAAGTGCTCCTTGGCAAAGCAGGCACCACCTGAAGGGGCTGCAGCTCATGGAGGACATGCACTGAAACAGAGGAAAAGAGAAGGAAGGAGTAACAAACCTCTGCAACCTGATAGCAACTCTCCCTGGCCCCATGCTGCTGGTTGCCTCACAGAAGGGACTGAGTGTAACCTGTGGCTATAACAAGGGGCAATAAATTGGCAATAAATGAAGTTATTTTTCCTGAGTCTGCATTGCCCATGACGATAACTGCTAAGTTATCTTCCTGTCCTTATCTTGACCCATAAGGTTTCTTGCTCCTCTTCTTCCCATTTTCTCTCCCATCCTGCTGGGGGGGGGGGGGGGGGGAGGAGAATGGGCAAGTGACTGGGTGGGTGTTTGGCTGCAGCTGGAGCCAACCCAGCACAAGAACATGCACAAATTTCATTTTGTAGAAAAGTTCTTGGGTAAATATGAGAACTGCCACAGAACTAGGAAGTGTACACCACATTTTCTGTCACTTTTTCTACAGATCACATGCTGGACATCGTATACAACTCTGTCCCTCTATTGCAAGCACAGTTCCAAGAAGGCATATAGACAGTTTTACATGACAGTAGAACTCAATATGAGGCCAAACTATAATGTTAGCTATACGTGTCTTTGCCAGAACAGCAGGAAATTTTAGCTTGTGTTTTGCTAACTGTTGACATTTTAGATTTCTTTGAATATGAACTTGTGTTTTCCCATTTTACACCACTGGCTATATTTTGCATGCTGCTATTATATAAAAAATATTACTAATAATGCCACGCTATCCTTGCTTTGCTTCCTATGTTGTGCTATAGGCAAACGCTAGCTTTACTCAAAATGGTGCTACTTTAAACAATTGGGTTACTTAGGCTTTTAGAAAAAGTCTTGCTGTCTTTACAAGACATAAAAGACATCACATTATATTCCTTGTTTTTTGGTTTCATAATATAATAGTATCCACCTTCAGCAATGCTCAATGTAAAAGATTTACCTGTTTTTCAAGTGATGCTAAGCGCACATAATCAAGCATGTATACTAAAGTTATATTAAGAACTTGAAAAGCAGATTATATTCTTCTACTAATTGATGGACAAAGAAAAGCAAAATTAAACATTTCTAGTCTGACTACTAACTACAATTGGAGACACATAATTAAATATAACCTGGCGCACATGTTTCAGTTGTGCATTTCAAAGCATGGTTCTAGTGCTCTGTGAACGCTCGGTGCTCTAGGAGGTGGCTCAGTTAATTTTTGAGGTCACTGCCATCTCTGTAATGAGGGAAAACGGTCCCTCTCATTAAACAGTAACAATCCATGTAAAATAGGAAGAATATAAAGTTCAACCCCTCACCCAAGGAGGGGCACTCAGCTTGTTTGAGAAGCTGCACACCTCAACTTTGCTTCCGGAGGGAACTGTATAGTGCTGGGGGTAGAAGCATCCCGCTTGGCAAAGCCACCCTCAGGGGTGCCTTGCGGCGGCGGCCAAAGGCAGCGAGGCAAGTTGCACAGCGTGGAACATTGCTTCCCAACACTCCCATAGAGCTGCCTGACCCCACTGGTGCCTGCTCCCCAGAGCCAGCTGCGAAGCAATGCACCCCACATCTCTCAGCACTGCGCCCGGCTGTATGACCTGCTGCATGCTGTGTGAATATGAGGCAGTCATCACTCCTGAGCCTTTTCAGCTGTGGTTTATTGCAAATAGCCAAAAATTAATCTGCTAGCTATATTCTACTTGTATAATCACACATTGCAGCATGCGTGTTTAACAATATAAAAAGAAGACGGTCAAACCTATACCTCAGTTTTGAGCTGTCAATACATAAAAATATTTTATAGGAGACCGAATAACAAAGCTACTCTAGCATTTACGAAGCATTTTTACATACAGACTTAAGCTGAAGGGGACTTTTCACGGGGGAATGAGAGACAGGAAAAGTAACAACTTGGCTGCATTTGCAGAGTGACACAGTGCCTTAGCCGGGACAAAATCTCAAGCTTCCTAAACTCCCAGGCTATTCCCCTCTCTTTAGATTTCAAAAATAACTCAAGTCACTTTGTATATTTGACAGGTTTACTAACAGCCTGCAATATAACGAAACTATAGTTTAAAATGTTTCATTCTTTATTGACAACTACTAATTGCTTTTTCATATAGGAAATAAAATAATATTTATTTTTCAGGCCTTGCAGTGGGTAATAATGAATAGACAAGAAAAAAACCCAACATATTTATGTGTGTGTATACATATCACATAATTTCAGCTCGACTACTTAGCAAAAAGGGAGAATATATTTTACCCCCTTCCACACATTTATACTAGCGATCCCTAAAACAAGTGGGTTTTACGTTTCAGAAAGCCATTTCAAACTTCTGTTCCTACCTGCCTTCGAGAAGCAATAGTGCTATTGAAACTCCTGTTAGTCATCTTGGAATTCACAGGCTTGCTTTGGCGAGCCACATCATTCCTCCATGTCTTAGAGTTTTCTTTGGGGTCCGAAGGGATGGGGTTCAGGAACAGTATTCTAGCAATCAGGCCATAGAGGACAGTCGCCAATACCATTGGCACAACATAAAATATACCGAAGTCCATCATGTAGATAGGAGAGTAATAGCTCCTGGACACCTTGTAGCCACAGGATACAACAGTAGTGTCTTTGTAGACTACTGTGTTAAGATCTAGCAAGAAAAACCAGAGCATACAGTACATGGAGGTGAAAGCCCAGACAAAAATAATGATCTTTTTGGCTCTTGAAAAAGTGCATAGGAATTGAGCTTTGATTGGGTGGCAGATGGCTATGTATCTCTCAATAGTGAAGGCAGTGATGGAAAAAGAAGAAGCATTGATCCCTAGGTACTGGAGATAAGTGATGCAGAGACACCCCATGTAGCCATACACCCAGGATCTATACAGGCTTTCTGTGATATTGGGTAGTCCTGCAGCCACAAGCACCATGAGATCTGCCACAGCCAGACTCACCAGATAGCAGTTAGTGGGAGTTCTCATGTGTTTGGTTCTGAGGACCACCAAAACCACCATGATGTTGCCCACGATGCCCAGTCCACAGATGAGGAGAACCAAGAGGATGGTGACCACTTGGTATTCAGCTGTAATCATCTCCTGGCTTGATAGTGGCAGCCCAGTTTGGTTCTGCTCGTCCCCTGTGCCATTCTCCATCTTCACCAGCCCACTGCTGCTTCTGCCCAGCGCTTGGTCTCAGCACATGTTGTCCATGGTCCCCTGCAAAAGGGTGAGTGGAGCAGAGCCTGGGTGAGCTGCAGCCCCAGAGCACATTCTCTGTGTAGTCACAGTTCCATTCCTGTACTGTCCTCCACTCATTGGAAAGCACCTGGACTTTCAGTCTTTGTAAATTCAATTACCAGGCAGGTTAATCCCTCTCAGACTCCGGCTCATCCGCACAGGTTAAAAAGCTGTTTTCTCATATGGAGATGGGAGCTTTCCCCCCTGCAGAGGAGGAGGAGGAGGAGGGGCGGCAGGGAAAGCAGAGCCCTCCTGCACTGCCAGCTGGCTAAAGCATTGCACGGGACTGAGCTGATCCAGTCCAGGCAGACTTGAGCATCACCGCTTTCCAGGAGGAGTCGAAACGCACCGAGGGTGGAGACAGCAGCGGGAGGTGAAAGTAGAGTGATTTGTAAAACCCCACAGGTTTTCTGCTCCACGCTGCTTTCCCTCTCTGCTCTCAGATGGTTATCTCGCGTATCGATCATATTGATCCACCCTGGCAAACAAAGGGGAGGCTGACTGGCAACAAAAATACACCAATTTCTCAAATTCTGACTTCCCCCGTGTCCCTGTCCTTGTGAAAGTGATGGTAATTTACACTTGCCTCCTGCTTTGCAGGGAGCTGTAAGAGTCCTTTTCAGAACTGACAGGAAAAAACGCATACCAGGTTTTGCAAAGAGCAGGAAAAACTGAGTTTCTTTACTTTACAGAAAATTCTGTTCAAAATCTCAGTTGCTATTGCTGTCTTTTCAGCTCTTTCCTGGATTGTAGCACAGCAACAATAAAACCATCAGAGCACAAATTGCTTCTTAATGAGATCAGTCACACACATGTGTACATGCACACACACACAGAGTGCTACTAATGCACCACCGTTTCCTCAATGACGAGTCTTCTCTGGTGAAATAAACTCCTCCTTGTTCAGTCAGGTTGTGTAAAACCACAGACAAATCAAAGACTGGTGGAAATAACTGCTTTGAGATACATTGATGAAAGCACCACAGAGGAAGCAGCAGTATTCACAAGCCCAGCTGCACTTGGAGATGGATGCAGAGCTTTTCTGTCTCACTTGCTGGCGATCTTAATGCCTCAGTGAGAGAAACCACAGCAAAACCTTCTGCAGGGCTCTGTGAAAGAGCCCATGCCAACTCCCCATCACAGTGTTTCAACCCATTGTTTCTCCTTATACTATTGTGTTAAAAGGCTGAAGATTAAGTCTGCCTTGAAACCCCCTTTTTCCTCCATTTAGGACAATTTAGGGTTCAAAAAAATAATGTGTTGTACAACTGGGGATAAACAGCTTGGATTTCAAAACAGATTTTAGTGTTAAGAGAGAGGGATTAGCATAGGCACATGATGTAATGTTTGCAAAACTAGGATTTAAAATAGTCTGAAACAGCAGGTGGTGACAAAAAGAATACCACCTGAATAAGAGCTGAAAATAAGATTCCAACAATTTCAGAAGTTTGAAGCCACTTGGTTAAGTTTTCCAGTCATTTTTTCCATTTGTCTGTTCACAATTCTGTTGTGATCAGATGCTTTTCATCTGTAGACCCCAAAGTACTTAACGAAGTAAAGCAAATATCATTATTCCTATATAACAAATGAAGAAACAGTGGTGAAAAGAATCTGATTCATTGCCAGTGGCCTAGCAGTGGCCTGTGGGAAAATTCAGATTACCGGTTACTTGACCAACAGTGTATCAACAGAATCATATCATGGGTCTCATTGAGATTCTGCTCCATGCGATCTGCAGATCCCGTTATTCTGGACATAGCTGAAAGAGGAAGAATGCCAGAGCTAGTGTGATGCCTGTGTGTCAGAAAAAGGATTCCTCCAAGCCCCCTTCATCCTCCACAACATTTTATCCTTCAAACTGGACAGATGCCTCATTAGCAATGTGTGCTTTTAAAGCTGTGTGGTGTTAGTGGGTGTAGCCCAAGATGCTCAACCTGATAGCATAAAACACCCCAGGAGGGAGCCCAGGAGTGAACTATCACAGATTTAGTGTCAGTAATAAGGGACCCAGCAGGGATCAAACCCACCAGGGCATTGAACCAGAGTTCAAACAAGGAAACTGAGTTAGTTGACAGCCTGGATAAACCCCTTAACCCTCAGTGGCTTCAGCTGAATCTGAAGTTTTTGGCACTTCAATAGTCTGATTTCTCTTTCAGTGCTGACTGACGCCTTTCTGCCACACCATCCCACCAAGAAGTCTTGTTCCTTACATGTCCATGTATTCTGCTAGCTTATTGTAGGCAATGTGGATGGTCTGAGTTGGGGCTGAGGAACTAGTATGTCTGACAGTAGGTAAGTGTTTGCAGTACCAGAAGTAATGGCTGAGGACACATGATGCAGAGAAGCTGGAGTATATTTAAAAGCCCACATGACTTTGAAGTGAGTATGGGAAGCCCGGAAGATGTGCAAGAAATGTATTATCTGATGATTGCCTCATTTCTCTGCATCTGCTACTGGTCTGCATCAGAAATGGGATAGCCTATCTTGTCTCAGACAGTAGTACTCTTTTTATGGCTTTTTGCGAAGTGTTGCATTCTGGTAAAGAAAAGTTGTCACTGTATGGCTATAGGGAAGTATATCTACAGGAGGCATTTTGAGGATTCTGATAATATCGATTAACATCCTTTATGGAGTACTTCCCTTTTCTTTCCATACAGTACTTACCCAACTTGTGATATTTCTGTAAAATCTGCAGTAATTGCAGAAGGAATTTCGAGACTATACATATATGTCCTATGTAATTAAATCATCTGGTGTCATGGACTTGGCATAAACATCATGTGATGCACATTGCTCGATACATTCAAATTGTCCTTTCAACATGATCATCAGTCAGAGATCAGATGCTAAATTTGGGAATAAGTAACAGATCAGTGTTTTCTCCCAGTTAATGCTACGTTAATGCAACCGTCAAAATACACTGACTAGTTTCAAAAGCAGTTTGCCATTAATACATGCAAGCGCAGCAGCTGTGCCAGAGAAATTTTGAGAGCAGATGGACCAGAGATCACTGTGAAACTTCTGCTGCATATCTGTTACTCCATTTTATACACATACCTGTTGGTCCAGGCATCAATTGACATTACAGGAACAAATGAGTACAGATGCAGTTAGTAAGTCCACAACAAAGGATAGGAAAACAAGCCCCTGAAATGTGCTGACTCTTGCTAACATATTTCCGTTGGTACAACCCTTTGGGTAGGAGGAAGAGGGGGAAGCATCGTGTTGATACACCCCATGCTGTATACCACTTAACCAACAATATTCTTGTCTTTTGTCTCAATTAAAATGCCTCTCTGCTCACTTGAGGCACAACAAACCCATAACAAACTGTCTCATAACATTAAGCACATGCTGATATGGAACAATGAATCACTATAAACACTTCACCTCACTAGCTATAAATTATTCTTAATTCTGTTTCTCCAACTCAGATCACTTCCTTAGCTGGCCTTTCCTCTTCTGAGAAACAACTCCACAAAAATGGCAATTTCATACTCTATTACCTGCCTGCACTCAGAGTTCATAAAAAATCATACGTAACTTGGATTCTTTACTCTGTACTTACTGCTGTACAAATGTCTCCAAGGCTGCAGTTTGTAGACAACAAAAGTCACCATCAGTGGTGTAACCTCAGTACCATCCAAAGGCTGGCTTTTAGTTGGTAACTAGCTACTGGCAAGATCAGCTCCAAACGTGTTTTGGATTTACACTAAATATTGTAGTAACTGTGGTCAAGTAGAATTTATTCTCCTACATCTGCTGCACCACATAGCTGTGGTTTTGTGCTAACGTAGTGAGCCTGCAGCAAAGCACTTGGTTTGTGGGACAAATCTGCACCTGGAAAAGCCTTTTATGAGTAAAGCTTGTGAGGGGACCAAGCACCTTTTCGGTGAGATAAATCTCATTGCCCAAGGCAGTGATCCTTCTTTCTAACTAATTTTTTTGCTGCCTGTCACCAAAGAATACATCCACTACAGTACTTCTAAAATTCTGGGTCAGTATTCCAAAAGTGCCTAAGTGATTTAGTACTTACGATAACTTGGGTTTTCCTACATGTATCTGACAAATTTTATTTGATTTAGGGCCTTTTAAGCTGCATGAGAGTGCAAATCCTGTTTCAAAGGTGAGGGGTTTTGTATCATCTTTGTTTTCTGTTAATCTCCATGTTGCACTGGTGTTGGCTGTTAGTTCAAGGCAACTAATAAGGAATTTTAAACTTAATTGTTCCAAAACCCTAATTGTCACAAAAAGTAAGAAAAAACATGTTCAAGCAATCAGTTGCCTCACATGGGAAATTTGGTTTATCTATTGCCTGTCAACAAGGTCACTGGTAACTATGGTTTGTTGAGACAGATCTGGGATCATATGGCAAAGGAGCCCGGAGGGACTTTAAAGAGGTCTACTCTTCATTAATTTCTATCAATTCAGGCAGACACAAACTGTTACAAGAACCTGATGAAGCACAAGGAACTTTTCTAGAATAAATGTAGAAATCCCACAAAAGAACGGGTGAGGAAGACTGCTTTCATGAAGTTTTTTGATTTTCTGAATTATCTGCATTCACTCGGATTTACCTCTTAAGACACTATCAGCTAAAGTCAACATCATCACAGAAAAGTGATCTGAAGAAAGGGGGAATGCAGTTCAATAGGGGCAAACACAAAGTGGTACACTTTGGCAGGAGCAAGCAGGTACACAAATTTAATGTGTATTAACTGGCAGGAGAATTGTTCTGTAGGTCATCTGATCCCAAGCCATACATCCATCAGTATGAAGGGCTGATGAGAAGCTGTTGTGAAATCAAACTTTCATCTGGAGCATGTCAGCAGGAGCATAACCAACATGATATACGAACTCATCCCTCACTGGGCTGTGTCCACTTTCAGTAGGCACCTTCTGAGATGCGGATACAA